GACACTGTTTGAAAAAAAGACGGATTTCGTTAACCTCCAATAAAAAATGAATAGTTCGTTCACAAAAGCATGCAACCATAGCCTCTATAGTCTTTTGTCATTTCAGCCGTGGTTTGCTCAGTCCAGCGGGGATAAAACCTGATAATCGTGATTCCTTTAAGTCGTGGAGGCCTGGTTTGCAGCCTGCAACAAGGATATCCAAATTCCAAAAAAACGGATATGCAGTGGAGGAGGGATTGGTTGAGTATGGTAAGTGATAGAGGACTTTTAACGGGGAGATTTGGTTCTGCAGCCCAACATGAGTGAGACTGTATGGTTGGCTTACCAAAACATTATTAGATAACATACCTAACTTAACCAATTACCGGATTAGGAAGGGAAAGAGAGCGCAAGTAGCGCTTGAAGCACGCGCAGGGAATCAAGTACAGGTGGTATGTACACATTCTCCCGACACAGCCACTCGATGGATCTAGAGGATATGGGGGCGCAATCATTACTGGAGGGCCATGGAGGGAACCACGTGGTAATTCTCAGTATATAGCCACTGTGATGGAACCGACGGAGTAATACAGCGTCCGAGCAATTCAATTAGCAAGTCTACTTAGCCGCTCGTTGGATAAGATAATAAGGAGGGCGCAAGCAGGGCTCAAAGTACGAACGAGGAAGCGCGTGTGAACTGATAATTGAAGAAACCGGACCTGATAGTTAAGCAGTCCTCCCCGATGGCACGGTCACTCGCTGGATTAAAATGGCAAGATGCAAATGCGTTACATTTGTAAAATCAGCCGATTCGCATTTAATAAAATTTTTAGAAAGCTAACCAAATGGTACCACTCAGGTGGGGCTGCAGGACCGAATCTCGCACTTTTAACTCCAAAACCTGCAGTTTTGACGCTGTCATCTGTGCGGTATCAGGTCTAGCGTTGTCCTGCAATCGTAAACCCCCGCCCAGTTGACCAACCTGAGCTGTTTTTTGCACGTATGAAGAAAATTTAGGCGAGGTGGTGGTTGTACACTGCCGTGATCGATGAACACGTTTTAGGAAATTATAAGAGATACCACCTGTGCCAGACCACCAAGCAATCAACGTTAATTTCTTTCGATAAATATGGAACGCTGGACTGTGCTTTGGTGGCTAATTTTTGTTCAGCCATTGTACTGAATGTTTAAGGTTAATTTATTGGATCCGTTTCACATCTCACTTTACGATTTGATTCTAAAACGAATAATTTTGACAAGAAAGCAGCATTTTGCAAATTTTTAAGCAGGTTGTTTTTCGTTTTTTATTCAGTTTTTGTAAAGTCAACTTATCTAAATCTCCCGCTGTACCGGTTTCAGATAGGTGAGTCAATACTGTTTGCCTGAACAAGCATCAACGGTACTTTCTGTGTACTTTGAAATGGATCTGACTCAAGGGTGACTTTATATTCGTTATTATCCCTCTTTGATTGTGGCCGACCAATGAGGCCACTCGTGAGGCCAACGTCATCAAATCGAAGTTTCACAAACTAGTTTGATATTTTTTGCTATGCCGTTACATTGGAGTAAAGTAAACCATTTATATTCCGACCACTCAAAAATGCCGCATTTCCATGAAGGGACTCGTATTTCTTAATCGTATGACCTTTCCATATTTGAAGACTAATTATAAAAAACTTTATATTTTGAATGTCAAAATAAAATATCGGCGCGAAAGAGAATTTTGTTAAAGGTAACAATGTGCACTACTAGCAAAATACATTATTGCCTACCCAGTATTACCGGTGGAAGCGACAGGCGAGTTTCAGATAGCAGTCCAGAAGAAGAAGAAGAAGGTGCGATCAATACAACGGGACGCTTATTGGTCTGATATTTCGGAGTCTCACTCGAATCCATAATCAGAAACAACCCCTTATCTGCGGCCTTCGTTGAGTATGGGTTTGAGTGAGGATCCAAAACGTCAGACTAATAAACGTCCTGTTCCACTGGTCGCATTTTCTTCTGAACCCAATATTAACTGAAATTTTGAAATTCGATATCTATTAGGAGGGATTACCTAAGTAGGGTTAAAATACCGCAGTATAATCTCATGATGCGTTTTTCAGTCCACCATGCCGCCTTTGGAGACCCTTATTATCATTGGCTTGCTAAACTCCCCTAGGTAGATATTCAATACATAACTTGCACGGATTTCTTGAATTGCGTTTGGAGGCCCTTTGAAATTCTAATAAACGATCAGAAATAACTTTTTTGTATTCATTTGGTGGAGAGGCAGTCCTTCTTTATATTTTTACTCAAAGAAAAGGTTTATTTCGGCTCCCAGAAGGTTCTTTGCACCAGCTCTGCCGTCGCATTTGCGACTAGAGTTTACAGTCCTCAGGCTTATGCCTTTCATCTTATAAAAATTTTTACGCTATAGTCAGTGTGCTGCACAGGAACCATTACCCCACTGAATGTAGACCTTTTTTTGTAATTAAAAATGAACATTAATAAACCTACAGATCCGGCCTAGGCTGAGTGGGTGTCCCACGCACGGTTTTAAAAAGCTTATGATTACATACTTTTTAAAAATTTACACTGTCACCGGATATAAATGCGAACTGGGTGTGCTTTGCTTCAAGCGGGTGCAATAAAATCGTTTTGGCCATAAGATCGCCGGGAAATATTCAAATATACAGGAAGGTCCCAAATCAATGTCAAACACTTCTACTACTTAAGCAATCATTTTCTGTCAAGTTCGGTTTTATAGGTGACCGAAAAGAAATGCATTTAAATACCAGTACCTGGGCGCGACTGAAATATTTTAAGCCAATGCCATATGCCAATCAATATTGCAAACCCACTTAAGTAACCCTAAGTAAGGAAAAATGCACTTCAGAACTTCGGTTTATATTGCATGAAACTAATCACTAATTGTATAAAGCTAGATGAAGCAAATCAGATCCCGAAATTTTCCTTTATATTATTTTTGTATTTTTAATAATTTAATTTTATAACTGCAAAAACACTGTGTCTATAATGCTACATAGTTTGAAGGCCTGATTAGAATGAAGCAAATGGGCAAGACGTCAACCGGTATTTCCTCGGCTTTTGCACGTTTCCTTGTAGACAGACTAGACTTCGTACTGCATTATCAATAAAACTGAAAGTCAAATTGCCAAAATCTGGGTGACTAACCTACTTCATATCAAAGTTGAAGCATAGATTAGACATTAAACTTTAAAATTAGGGCGTCTACCCTAAGTCAAAATGATATAAATTCCGACTATATTTGTCAGTTTCTGTTTATTGCTAGCGCATATTAAAATTTAATGTCTACTTTTGTAAGACCTAAATTGCAACCTTTCCCTGCTTATTTTGGGAGTCACTGGACACAAATGATTCAGTCGAAATGTCTTACACGCCTTACATGAGGTACTTGTCTCCAAATACTGTACATGTTAGAAACCTGACTGAACCGCTGACCAAGACTAATGTCAATAGTCATCTTATACTGTATATTTTATGTGGGCAGCAGGAAAGTGCTTGCGTAGGATTTCTGAACGGATTTCCTAACTTGCAGAAAATATCAGTAAGCAATCCGTGCAACTGACAGCTATAAATAGGAATCTTTCGAGACCAAAATTATTCACACAATTATCAAATGCAAAGCAGATTTTCTGGCAACATCCAATTGATTTAAACACTCGGAAAATATCATGCCGAATTTCTCCTCGTTGAGTGTTCTATTTTCTATCACGTTTTTATTATATCTGTAAAATCGCTCATGCCCACATGTGATTGCCGCAAAAACAAGCGAAGATTTGACTTTTAAATGTCAACATTAAGGAATCACTAAATGTTAATCCATATTGATTATGTAAGTAAAGGAGTCGTTTAAAACATAGGGGTTTCGTGTTTCTATACATTTTCCGGAGGATTAATGAGGAATTATAGTTTTTGTACCAAGTGAATACTGGGGTTGTCTTTAGCCAAAATACGCTCTACGCACATAGCAACTTTCATATAAGGTTGCGGGAAAAAGAAAATTTAATGTGTTGCATTTTCTGGGTCTGTGCTATTTTCGCCTTGAAGGTACATCATTTACTTAGCGGAACAGTACACTGGGCAACGGTTTAAAATATTTTAACCGAATTAAGCCTAATGAGGTGATTGTTGCATAAACACATGACAACGTTGTTGTTTCACTGCAAAAAGATGAGACAAAGAAAATTTAAAGGATGGCTTTTGCCAAATGCATTCAACAAGATTTCTTTGTTAGCTGCTGGGGTTCTAAGACGATCAACGACGTTATGCTCAGAAGGTATTAAAATTTGCAAAAATGGCAAAATTTCACTATGTAAAATTAGTATGGCTTCGATACAACTTGACAAAAAGTACTGTGCATATTCCATTAATAATACCAATGACGTCTCGACCGTTAAGTCCTAAAAATCTACCGCTTTCAGCCTAAAAAATGATAATAGTCATAAATAGTCTGGCGCTCCCTAAAGAAAAAGTATGTCTGCCCGGTTACTGTATACTGAAATTGTAAAGAGCCCGTATAATTACAATTTACTTGACAAAAATAAGTCCGTTTTATCAAGAGACCCAGCTTATTTCGTCAAGCAATTCTCATCTGATTCCGTGGCTCTTTTCTATATATTCGTCCTGGCCGTAACAAAATTTTAACAGATGAAAAGTATCAAACGTCGTTCTAAATACCATCACGGTTTATTCCTAGATTATAAATTGTAACACCGTACAGTCCCTAACTATTTTGTAGAACACCATATGTTGATGTTGGATAAATGTCGAAATTTGTGTAACACGTAGGTGGAGAGAACAAAAGGCCGAAATGTGATGTACGATTCGTCCTTATCTTAAAAGGTTTTACTTAAACCGGGATAAATACAACCTTGAACGCTGTCTATTCGAAAGACTTTATCCACTGAGTTTATAACTACCACTCTAAACCAAAAAGACTCATTTGAGCCTTCCACGATGTCGAATTATCGATTCTTTAGTGAATTATGCTGTAGATGTCCATGTCAGCTTCCGACCAGCTGCGCAGCAACAAATTTCTTGGGTAAGTACACTGTAATCATCCGTGGATTACAGCACGTCCTATTTGATTAAAGCAGTAAATTTAGGCCTAAAAGAGTATTACAGCATTCCGTGATGTCATCAATATCCTATCCCGCTGGGACGTCAACCAGATCTTCTGCGTCAGACTGGATAGGAGACGTCTGTAGTCTATGCAGGAGAAGCACCAGCGTAGCTTTATGTGCTTCCGGCTCAACTTTGAAGTGGAGGGGCGGAGTGGGACTGACGCCTTCGTCCTGAGCAGGTTTGAGAGGGTCGCTAATTACAAAGACTGCCTTGCTGTTCGACCTTCTTAAGAGGTTAATTGTTAGCAGGCGGAAAACCTGATAGGAGTCACTGTAGGGAGGGTGCAGGAGGCTGAAGAACGGCAATAAAGCAAATCATCAATTAGACGTACATATTCAAACAGAGGCCGGGTTGTTTGAATTGACTTATGGCATTTTCAGGTCGACCTACATAACTTTTCGATTAGCAAAACTTATTTTCTCACCTGTAGAATCAAGCATATCAACAGTTGGGTTTAACGCGGAGTTAGGCAAACGCGGCCGCTCAGTAGTCTATATTTTCCTGAGCAATTTACCGAGTGGATCGTAAATCCAGGGACGGCATTAAGGATGATCGGATGGACGAATTTTAAGCGCCAAAATAAAAGACTGGGAGTTCAAGCATGTTTTGCTCACGAACTTGGTGAAATTCCAGTAATCAACATGGCAACCGCCTCCGAGTCAGTCGGATAATGCGTGCCAGTAGATAACGTGGAATTGGACGTCCGACATCGAGATCTTCTGATGTAGGAAAGACGATGAGTTAAACTTAGGATCAAGATTGATCGTCAGTAACACTCACTCCAAAGACAGTCAGGAATCGACAACAATAGAAACGCCAGCGAAAATAAGATAACAATTTTGCCCCGATTGCCACAAAACCTGATCACAATATTTCAGCACAGCGATTATTATCCGTTACCAAAACCAGCTCGTATGTACCGCTTTTTTACAATCGTTACTTCAGCTTAAGTGTTACAAAAGACAAAAACACATGAGCAGTAGGAGAACGTGAAGTAGGTCTACCTGTACTCATAACCACGAGACAAGTCTAGGGAACATGTCCGAATTCACTATTACGTTGAAAATGACAAGCAGGGCAACTCACGTCCGTCAGAACGAGCAAGTAATTTATGGGTTGGAATATTCAGTCGGGGTCAGATAGTTAAACCTGGTTACTGGCAGTCGTGAACGATCCTCATCCCTGGTGCCCTATGTTTGACGACGCGCAATTCACATCATAAGCCTAAATCCCCAACTGAAGTTACTGGGCAATCAAGATCGCCTTCTGGTAAAGAACGAGGTTTGCGCTGCTTACCTTGAAACCGAACAATGATCAGCCGGCGGACATACTACTGAAGAGCTATGCTCTCGACATCTACGCGTCAGCTTCAACTGACAGTCAGTACAATTTCAGCCGTACGAAGCGGCTGCCAGCTGCCTTGCCGTGGTTATCTAACGGATATCGGTTGTTTGAATGACCTGAATTGTGGGCACAACTTTAAAAAACCATATTCTGGTCAATTTTGCTCGGCCTTCCATATGAAAACAGCGAGGGGGTGTTCAACGTGGGTGATTGGGGGCGGCTGTTTGTCAACAGACCTGCCAATTCAGAATTTTCATACCGGTCATACGGCCAGACAGGCTGATTACCTTTTAACTAGTTTAAAGTTATATAACCCGAATCAAGAAAACAGACCGACGCGCAGTGCCGAGAGCGGCAACGTCCATGGGACAAACCATGTTTGCGTTAGTAGACACACGAAAGTTCACTCTTCATACGCATCCAACTTATCAAATACAAAACGCTCTGACGTTGCAAAACGACGTCAGTACAATACACCTAGGCTCTGAACCCGAGAACCCGTTGTCACCTTGCAAATCAAGAGACAGGAAGGCGGAAGGGAGGGTTCATTATTGATGTACTAGTTCGCGAGGCAAGTGAGAGAATGCTTCAGCTGACTCAGTTGCCCAAAGCATGGTGGTTCGGCCTGAGATTTTAATGGGTGCCGGTCAAGGCGTTTTGAACTTGGTTTCACCACGCTACCCACCTCCTCTCACCTCGGAAAATCTCCGCAGAGTCTGCCAGACCTGGCGGCGAAAACGGAGGTGGCAATCTCCAAAAAGCAGTTTTCAAAATTAAAGGACACTGGGAAAACTTATCACCTTTTTCCAAGTTAGTAATGTGTTTTTTGACTGAGTGCATCTGCTCGGTATGCGAGTGTGGTTTCACTGTCGACAACTGGACCGAGGTCACTCGCCGGCTTAAACACTTTGAACATCGCTCAGACTTTTGTGACTAAATAATCAGCACCTATCACTCTCTCCTGCGCACTCCGTGGGGGAGGTGGACAATTCAGTTTGGAGAATTTTCTTGCTGAAGTACATACATACGCCAGCGCTCTGTTACCCTGGTTCCTTGTGGTGACTGAGCAAGCGTAGAGTGATAAGATAGTTACCGGTCCTGAGGCTTCGCGTACCTGTGGCTGTCTATGAAGAGGATGGGACAAATTCACCAGGGGATCATAGACTATTGCAGAGGTCTTTCCTGTTGTGTTTCTGAGGCGGTATCAGAGTGCGCTTTTCTCTGGACCGAGGCTCCGTAAACCATGCTTATGGCCTAGACGTAGATTTACCGCCCTGCTTTCCAACGGTGGCCTATTCTTGAATTCTGTTATGGACAATGTCAATTGATGGCCGTCTGGTTTTTTCGACTTCGCCGAAGCGCTTGGTGTCGCTGCAACGTCACTGAAGCTGAACGGTGTGTCAGCAAATGTTATGAATGAATGTTATTCCTCTACTGCGCTTATCCCTCTCGACGTGATTATCTCACAGCTCTTCCCTTTCTTTTAACTAGTTTCCGCTCTGCTGTTCACTTTACTAAACTTTGCTTCTGACTTCATCCTCTGAAGGGCCTCACAGGATTTTCACTACATTAAAATTTCACTCGGACGCCAGTTCAATAACTTCCATTAGACGGACAATTTCGTCTCACTTGCATGATATTTCGACTGTTGTTGCCGATCATGTTCACCGTCTACTCCAAGGCATGTTACAGTTAGTGACCTAACTCATGAAATGTGTCGAAATTTGCACACTGCCAATCGCTCGCAAACCGAAACCATTTCAAGAGTCCAACGGCTATATTAATTAAGTGCACATTTAAAAGAATTAAAGCCATAAAATAAATATTAAAGGTAGTATTTCATTGTTTAGGAATGCCGATTTTTTAAGAAAGGCGCAATATCCTGAAAACGCCAGAAATAGCTCTAATTCAGCAAACTTCGTTTTTAAATGTATAGAATGTATTCTCATTCCAAAAACGTAGTAAATATGAAAGTAAAATAAAATAATTTTTAATAATAGTGTTTCGGTGAAGTTTACATCTAAATGTCGTTTATTAATTAATATGATTTCATATATGCCAATTTGTTAACCGCCTAGAGTCTAAATGTAGATTCCAAAACAGTTTTCCTGGGATTTATGTTATTTCTGACCATTTTAAAGTAAATGAGATGGGGTTCAACAAGAAAAGCTTCATTATGTTTGATTTTACCGATGGGGACGTCGTAGGAACAAAATTCTTCATAAGGTGACATGTTATATGGGCAGTCGGTGTCTCATAAATGTATATAGAACTGACAAGCGTGACCGTAAACGTACCGTTTTTTGCTTATGGAGAGAGTTTTTCTTCTGTTAAATTAATTTACACTTTTTGTTCGTTTTAGATTACATTGAGTTTCAGACAAACCTCAAAATTCTGATAAATATTTCACGATTTTTAGTGTTTTCACCCGCTCGTTCATAAAGACAGATTCTGAATTACTTGTCTGTTGAGAGCTTTAAAATGAGATTATCCTTGAAGGCATTAACCGAATTAGTAAGTGTCTGGGCGCTACTTTTCACGACGGTGGTCGTTTGGGTCACATGTAAAGACTCATTCAAAGATCAAACTTCATTTTCAAGAAAAATGACTGTTGAATACCACGGTTAACGTCGGACATAAAATAATTTTTTTCATTTTCGGCAAAATCTGTTTATTAAAACTCTCTAGGGCGAATTGCTATCCTTTCAATGAAAAAGTCACTGAGATGCGTAAGTGGAGTCTAGGACATGTATTAGCAAAGAAAAGTGCACAACTATATTCCAATATTGGTTTTCGCTAAATTTACTGATATTTTACTTGATATAATTACGTAAACACGATTTCTGCACAAGAAAAGGATATCTTATTGAAGGCTGTGGATGGGCGAACAAAATGCGCAAAGTTAACGACGTACAGAAACTCTCGCATCAGTGTCCTTTATCAGATTACATGAGATAGTTCACGTACTGTAGGCGTAAAGACGGCGGCATCTATGTACATTAATTTATAGTGGTAGTGGGATTGCGTTGCATCGGCCTCACTCTATCTTTCCCTCACCCTCCCGAGCACGTTGTCAAGGCTGAGTCAGAAAGGTCAGAAGCGGCATTGGGCGCAGTGGTTAACAGGACTTAACAGCCACCTGCGGTATCCACACGCGTCTGGTCCGGGGACAAAGGGTCAAGATTTTTCCAAAAAAAGCAGAGGGACGGTCTACACCCTGGCCGAGTAGAAGTGCCGTTAAGTCCGTGATAAGAAGGAGCCACTGCGTCCAGAGTTATTCGTCAGTTGGCATCCATCAAGGTCACGGCTTTTGGCACATAAATACAATTTAAGTGCGTGTCACCTTGTCCAAGGTGAGAATGTGCGCCGAATGAAATTCACTTTCTCTTCCACCTCCCGGCACCAGTACACCATCCGAGTTGATTATTCATCTGGTGTGGGATTAGGCGCGGAGGCCTGACAGGTCCAACTAGTCCGCTAACGCGTGCCACACCAGCTTTCCACACAACCAAACATCATGCTACAATAACATACAGAGTGTTGAGCCACAATTGAATGCCATCGTGAAATCAGTTAATTTATCTTCAAACAGTGGACGCACTAAAATGTCCTCAAGCAGAATTGTGTGCCGAAGGCATACTTCTGGATTAAGGACTTTTAGTTTTAAGAGATTGGCAGTATTACTTAACTTGTGGCGGGGTTTCTGCTAATGAACTGTGTAAGAATGATAGGATATTCCAAATCGACGGTGTCTGTGGGAAATTTTGGGTGAAACTCGGAAATAAGAAGCTCCTTCCCGTAAGGCATTTGGTCCTACGCTAAATTTCAGGGAGATTTGGGATGGGGTTAATTCTGTAGTTGAGTTTAAGGCCAGGACACGGGAGCAGGTACCCTATATTGCGGGGGTCTTCACTCCTGTGTCATACCACACTTGGTTGTTTTTAGCAAATGTCCACCGACTACCGATTTGTATCGCCACACTTATCCATATGCGCTAGACCATGAGTACACAAGACGAGCTAAATTTACGATGATCGATTCTTCTTCAAACGAAGTACGCTGGCTTCCTCAAGACACACCAACATCAAACAAATGTCTCAAGTTACACAAGACAGACAACTGTAGCATTATAGGCACACCAATTTCACAATCGTTACTTTTAAATTGATACCGCCGTCAGTCTAAAGGGGTTCAAGTGGTTAACAGCTCAAAACCTGGCTCAAAACGGCCCGCTTAAGCATGGCAGTGAGTCGTGGGCCTTAAGTAGTCGGCGGGTGTTAATGGCGGGTTCGCTATTGTGTGTGTCGGACAACCATTGGATACGGTGAAAGTCAAGATGCAAGCATTCCCCGGGCATTACAAAAACTCCTGCTTATGTCTTCAGTTGACTTGGATAAAAGATGGGCTTTCAAGAGGCCTTTATGCTGGAATCATTCCGGCTCTAATTGCAAATATTGCCGAAAACGCCGCAAGTTTTGCGCCCTAACATTTTGTCAAGTAGTGGTATCATGGGCAATGAAAACCGGCTCCTTCAAGCATCTTTTTGCCTTTCAACATGCCCTGTCGGGATTTTTTGGCGGATTCTTTACCGCCTTGGGCCCGTGTCCCACGGAACTTGTTAAATGTAAAATGCAGGGGGTTCAGGAGATGGCGGAGCTAGGAGGCATAAAGTTGTCACCACGTGCATCCTGGCCGTGATAGTGTTCCGGACTGTAACTCCACGCGTGACGACTGAACCACTTTCACCTCAGTTGTCTCCGTCGCATCCTGAGGCTGAACTGGCAGGATCGAATCCCCGATACTAATGTGCTGGAACGGACGGGAATCCTCAGCATCTACACCATGCTGAGACAAACACAGTTGCGCTGGAGCGGCCACCTGGTGCGCATGGACGAAGAGCGACTACCCAAACGACTCTTCTACGGAGTCGTCCCCACGGGCTCTCGCCGCCAAAGAGGCTAAATTCGTCAATATAAGGATACTCTGAAGTCCTCTCTGAAGCATCTGCAAATTAACACGACCACCTGGGAAGAACTCACTCGCGATCGACCGACCTGGAGGAGGAAAGTGAAGACAGGCGCTGCGATCTATGAGGCCAACCGAATCGCCGCCGCGAAAGTGAAACGCGAAGCACGCAAATCACAGCTACGCCCAGTCCGCAACGCCGACGCACAACCGCTTCCAACGTGTCTTCAGTGTCAACGGACATTGTGGGCACGAAATGGACTCACTGGACACTTTCGGACCAACTGCATTTCCATACCGCACCAACTGCCGCTCCTCCGCCCGCCTCTGCCTCGTCCTCTCCGCCGCCAACTAACTCTGGCAATTCTTCTGAACCACCACCTCCGTCCTCCCCCTCCTCCTCTTCTTCCTCCTCCTCCTCCCCCTCCTCCTCCCCCCTCCTCCCGCTCTTCCCCCTCCTCCTCCTCTTCCCCCTCCTACTCCTCTTCCCCCGCCTCTTCCTCCTGCCCCACTGCACAAGCCACGGCCGCTCTGGTGGCCGTCACTCACACCAGCATCACACACATCCATAACACAACAACAGACCCCATCCCTCCAACCTCCGACTCCAGGGGTGAGGACCAGACTACACCTGCCCTCACTGCGACCGCACCTGCACCTCACACATCGGTCTGGTCAGTCACTCGCGAATCCATCGCACAGAGACTGGCGAACCAGTGCCTGGAGCACCAACCTACACCCACCGCACTCGCCTCCACTGTCCACACTGCCCTCGCACCTTCACGCATCGCATGGGTCTATTCGGCCACATGCGCATTCACGAGAGCGGAATTGACCGCAATACTGACTCACCCACCACGCCAAACCCCATCCCCACTTATTCACCCTTTGCGCCCATCACCGTTATCGCAAATGACACCGACACCACAGATTTCGCCTGCCCACACTGTTCAAGCAGATTCACCTCTCGCCTCGGCCTGGTCGGTCACTTGCGAATTCATCGCACGGAGAATGGCGAACCAGCACCTGGAGCACCAACCTATACCTACCAAGCTCGCCTCCACTGCCCACACTGCCCTCGCACTTTCAGGCATCGCATGGGCCTACTCGGACACGTGCGCATCCACGACGACCTGCTGTAGACAACCGCCGGCTACACCACACCATAACACCCTCCCTCCCTGCCTCCACCACTACCACTACACAACAACACTCACACACCGCAAGCATCCAACTGCCACCTCCCACGCAAGTGGAAAATGTGCATCTCGAATCGTTCGCCATGCGGCTTCGGCTGCACGGGTGATTTGAGTCTGAGACTATCCCGACACGTCAAGCGTCGTGGATAGGAAAGTTGCTGATTGACGCCCCCACTCGGTCCACGAAGTTCGTCCCGTTGGGTGCGTGTGTTGTGCGGAGTGGCGCACTGGTGGGCTGGGTGACGGGCTAAAACAGCACCTACCACGGCCCTCTCACGCAAGTGAGAGACACGCCGTTCAACCCCCGTTGTGCGAAATCCTGGTGGGTGTGTGTGTATGGGGGGTCAGGTCGTGCACGTGGCGCGCGCAGTCATGGTCAGTCGACCATGCCAGCCACCGCGCCCATTTCCCACTCCAGTCTGCTGACCGGCTCGGACAGCGGCTGCGGTGTGGGAATGGGAAGGAAGAGTAAACTCGACGACTCAGCGCACTTCCTCCTCACTATAAACAATCTGACGCGCTTGAAGCTATCACGGTGCGCTAAAAGCCGTGGTTTGGAAGGTTGCCAACGACTGGTGGGGGTCTGAGAGTCAGGCTACAATGGCTCCTTTTTAATGTGACCTTTATGGCACTCCCACCACAGTGCAGGATCCGAGCCAGGCGTCGACGGCACGCCTAGGTGCGGCTTCGGCCGTGCCAGCCTCCAATCTCTGTTGTGTTGGTTGAAATCCTGGTTATTTGTTGTGTGGACCAGGGAGTGTGATGGAACGCCAAGGTGAGGATCCGTCCTAACCATCTACCTGCGGCCTTCCTCGTCTCCGGTCTTCTTGACTCTGTCTTGACGCCGAGCTCAGGCGGGGGAGGAGGAGAGAGTGTAGGTAGATGCAGCGCAAGTCTACTGGCACTATAAACCCCTGCGCAAGTCACCGTCCTTGCTCCCACCGCTGCTGCTGTGGGGCACACGGTGGACATCATCGAAATCGATGCTCAAACTGCCACAAAATTAGTCGGTATCCGTCGCGTGGACTAGAGTTCCCTAAACCTGGCCCAGCACATCGTAAAGTTTGGAGAGGTATATTGCGCAATGTCATCGAGGTCAAATGCATCATGCATTACAACAGCCCTATCAAATACAAAAACATGGAACTTCGAACAAAAAAATTACCGAGAGAATATGATACAATAACATTTAACTCAGTAATTTTACCTTCAGTAACTTTAGCCTCCTCAAACGCAAATCCTGAAATTATAAGACTTACAGAAATAAAGGTAGCGGGCCTGCCAGTACTCGCAGGGTTTTGCGTCTTTCTCAAAAGTTCTGAAGTTTTGGATTTTGTCAAGTACCCAACTTGTAAGAAAGTTTCTCAGCCGGTTTTCCTTTGTCATGGCGGCATGTTTCTTGACAGTACTCATCAGATAGGCGGCGTCGGATACGACTAAGTGTCCTTTATTGACCCATGCTCTCGCATATCACCAGTCCTACCTTAAAGGTGGAGATTTGAAGTGTCGCACTTGTGCCCACGCTATTTCCTGCTTGACAGATACCGGTGTCGTAAAATGGTTGGTTTGGAGTTTTTTCCACTCAGTGTGCACTCGAGATCACCATTTTATGGCCACATAGGCTTACATCAGAATAACAACCGCACCCATTCCACGCGTTTTTTGAGATCATAAACAGTATGACCGCCGTTTCCGATGATGTCCACCGTGAGAGCAGGGACAGTGATCTGTCCAAAAGTTAGCTTAATGTGATGGTAGACCTGAGAGTACAGTCGGTGGGCTAACACATGATATGTCAGCCGAAATTTAGAAATGCATTCGAGTTTCGAAAAGATCAGTTAAATAGGGTTGCAAAAATAATCATCATACGGCACAATTCTATAATAATTCAGCTACCTTAGGATGTAGGCGTTTAAATGAACTTCTCTTCGACCGCATGCAAGGACTATACTCTGCAAAAACGACTACTTAAGTAGCATGTATTTTTCTTACTGATTTTCGATGCCCTTAAAATTTCAATTAATTCCATCAGAAACATGAATAAAAATATTCATTCTTTCGCTAGTTCAGTAGGACATGGCGTTGTTTTCCAATTTAATACTCAAATAGGGTATAATTTGGTGTTGAAAAAGTTTCCAATTGTGCGCTTTTCTAATATTGTAAAATAGCCATTTATAAACGTCATGTCTCTGCGTTTACTAATGTAGCTTGTAATGTTGACAATATGGCTTAGATCCACTGCTAAATTTTACGAACTTCACATGGCCTTCTTTTAATACCGTGGAAAATATACGGCTTGTAGTTTGGAAACCCTGAATGTAAGTGCAACAGTTGGTCGGGTTGAAAATTATTCGGGAACTGAAAAAGTTTGTGAAAAGCGAATCAGACCCTTTCCTCAAGTATAAAATTGGAAGAAGACGTAAGTTTTTACCGAAAGCGAGAAGAATAAATATTTGTGAACATGGTTTTAATGAAATATAACCTAATTTTCAGGGCATTGAAAATCAATGGTAAAATTGCACGCTACTTAAGTAGTCATGTTTTACAGAGCATACTCCTTGCATGCTACCGGTAAGAATTTTATTCGAAAGCCGGCACCCTGGATTATTATAAAATTATGCTGTAAAATAATTGGTTTCACAACTCTCCTTAATTAGTCTTTTCAAGGCGGGGCCGAAATTCGAAATTTCGTCCTACTTTTTATGAGTTAGCCCACCTACTGTAGATGCTTCTGCAGAATCAGCCGCACTTTTACCTCATCTCCCGCCTGGATCAGGTGACAAAACAAAGTCATGAAGACCGAAGGCTGAAGAGGACGCAGGCGTATGGCAGGGCGAAAATCCGCACTCGGAAGTACCACCGCACCCAACCTCTGCGGTTCACAATGGACATCGGCCAGGGCTACATAGGCCCCAGTCGACGCAGCGTAAGTCCGCAAGTGGGTATGAGTTTGCACCGCAATGTTGACATTTTTATGGGTTCGCATTCCCACTAACGCCTGCCGCGTCCCGATGAAGACCCTACATTGGTCCAGAACATATATTCTGTGGCCCTTTTTAGGGGCAAGATCAGTTATGGGAGCAAGATGCCGAATGACAAAAACCGCGTTGTCTGCAAATTTGACAAAAAGCAGTGACAGGTGAGACCTTCAATACAGATCCCTAGGGTGACCCATATGCCAAAGATGACAGATTTACATAGAAGTAGGTGTAATAACAGCAGTTACCAGAGCGCCTTCCTCAAAAGCGCGACTGTTTGTAAACGCGGTGCCGATGAGGCTCAACCATCTCTATCTTTTTTGCTAAGTACAAGGTCACGAAAATAATCGGAGGATTGTTTCGTACTAAGGTGTTATTCTAGGAGACCTATCAGAGAGAAGCAAAGGCTGGAACGCAAGAAAATGTTTTGGTCAACTTTTCTAACTGGAGGAAAAGTAGCAAAAGTGGAATATTCCTGACTGTTTAAACAGCAAGTTCTGACATATCCTCTTATACTCAGTGGAGCACATTACAGAGACCAGATCAGCCAAGCAATGCCAGACAGCCAAGTAGGCATAAGACAAATTAAGGCAAACCTTAGCTGACCGAGGCTTGTAGCTCACCAGAGCTTTGCGTATTAAGGTTCGTTGCGATATTGCAAAAGTTTATTATTACCGTACGCTAACGGCTTTCTAAACGAGTTACACAGGGAGATAGGCCATTAGCTTGCTGAGCTACTAGTAATGCCTTTTGAGACACAGTCCCTTTTATAGATTTCACATCTTGTTGTATGCATGACAATAGAAAACGTATAGTGATTAGGTGAATAGTGAAATCAGTATTAAGGTGACTTATATTATTACAATGCAGATTATCAACGAAGACTTTTTTCTAACCTAGAGCCTAAGGTAGTTACAGAAGATAGTCGTGAGCGTGCCCTTTTGAGCTATAACCGACTTGTATGGATCGAAAAATTATCCTGACTATAAGATAATTCATAAAACTCAAAAACCGTTTCCAGGTCACACCTTATGAATCAACATTCATGCAGTGTCTGAGGAGTATGAGATTTGTTCATATGTACAAAAATATCTGGTAATTTTAGTAGAAAAACGCAAAGTATGCAGATTTTTGATGGGCTAGCGTAGTTAAAGCGAAGATTTAACTTGCAGGTATGACTAAATCTGCTAATTTTTGAAAAAACGACAATACTATCTCCCGCAGGATTGGATGTAAGGGTAACTGCCGAATTTTCGCACAACCTTTGTATGTATGAGGACTAAATTCTCACAAGCACAGCAAGACAGAAAAACAAATGAACACTGCATAAACAGTAATTATTCCGAATGCAACCAGCAAAAGATGTTGAAGTGATTCTCTGATATTATCCGGTATTTTGTGGTGCAACTTTGGATCTGGTCTATTCCAATATGTGCTGAGAAGATAATATAATGAACTTTTGAAAAGTGCTTTTTTAAGATGTCACATTTTTTCGTCAGTTCTGGTGCTGATTGTGTGTCTACAAGGAATTTCCTGATAAAAATGTTTGCGAAACAACTCTTAGGGCTTAAAGCAGTATTTAAATTACGTAATCACATGCAAATCACTAATTTGAACAAGTTTTCAGTAACAGCCCATTACCAGTGAAACGGAATAGAACTCAATTTTACAGAACGGAAGTAATCCAAGCATCGCCTGACCGCCAAAAAGCAGGAGACCACACTAAGTTTAGCGTTGTGGCGGCGGCGGCTTATTTTTTCGATGGCTTCCGTTATACCGTTACATAGGAGGTTAAACAATCGGATTATTACCGGAGGTTAATATCTTTCCGAAAATATAACCTAGAAGCGCGGACCCTCCAAATATCACAAAAACACCAACGAATTTTAAGAAAATATAAGAAATCGTTATGGTAGACGTGAATGCCTGAAGAGTGTGTAGTTAAAGCAGATTAAATTAGATGAATTATATAGCTCGACATGTACTGAGGATAATCCAACTTTGATGAGTAAGCTAGCAGACGAGAATACGGTTTTAATTAAAACTGCGATCAATTTAAAAATCTGTCGACTGATGTAACTAAAATCTCTACGCTTAACGTATAATCTCTAAGTTTAATATTTCCATATGCATAACTAACGCTTTAAGTGCACACCACACGATTAAATTTTTGTAAATTGGATAAATATAAATGACGGTTTCAGTAACAAACGAGCATCCTGGAGCTGACGAAACAAACTATTTAATTGAAAGCAAGGATCTGACTTATAGACATTTATCAACAGGCAGATTATCAAAAAGCGACAACCCATCTTTCGTAAAACTGAAAGTAACAACTACGACTGTTGATGTACGAATGTAAGAAACTGTATTTTCCCAACCAGTTTTCTGGGTGATAAGACTAATTTGGAAATCATATGCAATCGATAATCTAGGCAAGCTAAACCAAGCTTATTATTTTAGGCTCGCGCAGAGGACGACAGTAACTAGTTCCGACAATATTGGAAATACGAAAGACTAACTGTTGTGCTATGTCGTCTAAACTTAATAGACTTATACATATTCACAGTATACAGTTCGTTCAATATGTCCTTTTCCAACTTTTCAGAAATGGTAATTTGCTCCTAAGTTGTTAAAGTAATCTTTTAAGTAGCTAACTCGATACGTCCAACAAGTTTGTAATTTTGATGCTTAATCCGATAGAACTAATTTTTTCACATTTTTTGAAGAAATACTACGCACCTGAAATAACAGACAAGTGCCACGTAAAACTTTTCCCTCCTACATTTATTGAAAACTAAAATTATAGACCGCAGAACATTTGCTGTTTCTGTTTTCATGCTTGTTGCGTTATGAGAGAAGGTCCATCTGCATTTTGAACTGAAACATAAAAAGGTTAAATTTGATTAAAATGAGCTCTACAACCACAATTAGTAGAGAAATTCAATCACCATAAACTGTCCTATAAGACTTATCGGAATTAAGTTCGCCCTGCTTACGCATATCCGCTTGCCGCAATTTATGAATGCTTTAACAAACGTGTTGATGCAAGCTACAGTCTGTGGAAAATGTAATTTAATGTTATTTGCCTCAATCATGAATCACAAACAATTACTTTAAAAGCCCCGTTCACCAGGGCAGTCGACTGAAAAATGAAATAACAAGCAGTTTTTCAAGGCCATCAGATATTTTAATAAAGTAGACGACTGATTTGGGAATTGCTCAATTAGATGTGCCGAGATCTATGATATATGACGCAGCTCCTGGGATGCTTTGACTGAAATCTGAGTAATCAGTTAAAGGTGAACAAAGCGCTGTTAGTTTACTCTGCAAAATATGGCTAAGTTATAAAAGGACCTGTTCTAAAGCCAACTTTATTCCTGAGGCACCTTATGAGAAAGAGCTTGCCATTTTTACTCAACAATAAAGTTTTTTATATTTGGGTAAGTTGCCAGGCTGCCCCTTCTGCAAACATAAGCGGATGCTTGTACGTTGTCCGCTCTAAAGCAAAGGATGCCTTAAGAAATTCCCCTCTAGAACTGGAATAACTCTTTAGGTCTATTTACTGAGATCACCTTTAATGTCCCCCTGAGGGCCATTAAGAATGGCATCAAGGAATTAGACTTTCATACGCAAATGGTCATACTTGAGCAATTTGAATTAGAAAATTGACCAACGAGCGCATTGAGTTCCCGATACATGTGTTGATGACCAACCCACATTCTGGGACAGCGTTTACCTACATGCTGAGTTTTACATTTAGACAATCCTACGAAGGCAGTCTAACTGATTGTTTGGAGGACGTTTTTACGACAAAAAACTGTGACACTTACAAATTCCATAAACCATCGGGCTCTGATTACACGAACAACCAACAAATCTGAGCGGCAGCCAGTCTGACGGACAACGGACAAAACCAATAGTAAAATGTTTAAGAGCATCATGAAGTACTCTCTTGACTTGAATGAAACCGAAGAAGCACTACGGCTTTGTCGAGTGAGCGCCTTGCTTGTGGCTTGGAAGATGTATGGGCATATTCATGTTTTAGTATAATAATCTAGCGATTACAAAGACAGCCATCCTTCCAATCTGCGATGGGAGAATCATGTTTACCCCTGAAGAAAGCTTGATTTTAATTCCAATGCAAGTGTTTTATATTAAAGGGAACTCGGATAAGCAGTGAAGAGCAATTCAATGCTAGGGAAATTAAATGTTGGTGTATATCAACCACACAGACCAGTCCCCTGTAGACAACTGGACCGTGTCTATATCTGATAAACGTATAAGTAAACAATATGCAAATGAACTATCTTCCAATTACGGCCATTTCGCATTTGTCATCTTCTTTTATTTTTTTCTCCGAGGCGCCTTCTCTTGTTACGTGCCGCTATCTTTGGCTTTAACTAACTCAACTAGTGGATAAAAATTACTTTCAAATCCTCTTATTCAACAAAACAGAAAACAACGACTTACAAACTAATCTATGCCAATCTATTTCGAACATTGGTTTCTATATTTGCGTAAGTTTTTGGTACACGCTGGATAGACACCTCTGTGGTACATGGATGTTCTTGCGAATCACACATATTTTAAGTTTTCTCACCTGTTTTGGATATAAAAAGCGGACGAACTCCCCGACAAAACACATATCAGCGCTTTAGATGGCAGCCATTCCGCCGAATTGTTTAGAACTCAACTCGCATGTCCCTATAAAGGTCTGAATATCGAAGAAGTCGAAGCTTATGGACAGTACTCCCGATTGAAAGTTTCGAGGAAATTTTATGCTGCAAAAGAATGCGTGTTTTTAAGAATTGTTAAGTTAAAACGTAAGAAAGATGTCAAAAGCTGTCAGCCATCAGCTCGCAGACCTAATTGCTTGCTTTATAATCGAAAAGTGCTGCGGAAGAATTAGGTGTACTTGGACAAGATCTCTGAACTAACTATATTGTCTGATGTAGCTAGTTGAGGCGAGCCCACATGGTCTACACCTAAGCGAGCTAAATGACCTCGAAAGTTTTGGTTACGGCTAATAATTTTTCAAAGAAACTAATTCCGCCTATGACCGTCTAACGTAACCCAGACTGCCATGTCCGAGGGCAGAAAAGACAAAGAAACTCACCAGTTGATCCGCGCCGGTCGTTTAACTCAAAACGTTTGTTCTTCTTCTACAACAAGTAATGGACGCCGGAGTTCAAAATGCTCGGCGGCAGTGTAACAGAAGCCTACCTGGGTTTAAAGAATTAAGAGAATACGGCTTCCAGTGTAGCGCGCAGGTCTGACGAGAGTGCAATGCACCGAGTAGTGGTTATTTGGTATATTCACTCAGTTTACCCATAAATACGCTTTTTCCGTGAGTGATACTCGCCGGCTATTTTCTCAAGCAATTTTTGGCTATTTCGAACGTGTATCATGCAGAAATGAACAACAAGTTAGCTGTTATGGAGGCCTGACCTTAAAAATGTTGCCCGGTAATCAAACTGTCATGCAAGCCCTACTTTTGCAACTTTTAAAAACTGTGCCAGCTATTGTTTTTCGAAGGTATTTGGTTATATTGCCTGTCTACGTTTCGTTGAGTGTACCTTTTTCTTTGTTTCACCGATGTGCACGACGCAATCAAGGATGAACGGGACGTTGAAACTGATTGCTTTATCTACTAACAGCTACATTTCCGTGTTCGCATAAAACATTGACGTTTGGGATGACCTTTAATATATGGGCACCCGCATATAGAGCACGATGGTGATGGCTCATCATTAAACTTAGTCATCCTCTCATAAATTCGCTGCGAGGAAAGATTAGAAAATTTTGCATTGTTTGATGAATGTTGTTCTACTTTACCAGAGAAACCTATGATCTTTCGAGTAATTTATTTTTCAACATCGACTTCTGTGCCCTCTTTCCTTTCACGTAATGACGTTAAAACATTAAAAATAAAAATATAAGCTTTTCAAGGGCGTGTCAGTCCTAATGTGGTTGTTTTTATATAAAAGCGCTTTTTCAAAACCAAAACAATTTTCAATTTTCCTTGTAAATTCTCGCTAATAAGGATTGGCATCTAGCTAATTACCCCGAATTAACATAACAAATTTTTATAACAACCATTTGAAAGCGTGATAACCCGTGAAATTAGGCAGAAGAGCAAGTAGGTAACCGAGTTAATATAGTCGTTTTGGGAAACAAAATAGCGCAGTAGGTGTGTTCGCCCATGAAAAGCTAATCGAAATCCTAAGATGCGTTTAAGACTCGATGAGATTATCTAAGGGGATTGCAATAGTAATCCCCGTGCAACATAATCCCATAATATCTCAGTTATTTCAGAATGCCGGTCTTTAAATGAACTTCATTTCGGCCGCTTGTAAAAGTTGTACTCTGCAAAAAAGGATTACATATGTAGCACGAACTTTTTTCAATGGTTTTTGATGCTTTTATAAAGCCAAAAAAATTTATTATAGGGAACATGCATAAAAATATTCATCATCTTACTTATTTTATAGAAACTTACGTTTTCTTCAAACTTTATACTTTAAGGAAGGACATAATATGGTTTTAAAAAGTTTCTAATTCTCGAATAATTTTGAACCCGACCTGCCGTTACGCTTACATGCAGGGTTTTCAAACCAAAATTTACATATATTTCGTGGATAGAAAATCCTAGATTCTTCTACAGTATTAAGAGGTGACCATATGAGGTTTAGAAAATTTGGCAGTGGATTTGAACCTTAAAGATACATTAATGAACGGCCATTTTACGGCTTTAAAATCTCATAAATAATCTCCTCTAAAATCACATCATGTTCTTCCTTCAAGTACAAAATGCATATAAACTGCATTTGGCAAATACTGCGCTCTTTGCTCATCAATTACACATGTGGGTCATTGTTTCTGAAGATGAAATTTGCGAGTGAATCCGAAACTCCAGGTTAGTGAATTTCTTGTTTCACCAACCGAGTCCGATTCTACGGTTTATATATGCTAATTTAACATCCCCGTCAAATATCGAATTCTTGTTTTTATCCTTACGCAGTAAACACGTGGTTACAAAACCGTATGCATGGATTACTAAATTACAAGTAATTCCGGCATCACAAATGATGGGAGTCACTGCCGCACACAAACTGGGCACAAGACTGACTTTGAGTGAACAGCTTTCTGACTGTCGGTTTCAACGATGTCTGACGTGTTCCCCACGTCAGGGTGAGATCAGGGACGGTGACTTGAGCGCGAATTAGTTAATGGTGATAGCACATCTGCGCATCATCTACCGCACCCTCTGCTACCCCAACTGGGCACGGTGTCCTGACCAAGTTACGAAGGCAGGGGGTGGGAGAGGCCGCCGGTGGCTGGCACAACGAAGACCCGCACCTTGGCGTACCAACGCACCCCCTTGTCCGCAACAAACACTTGACCATGATTTTAAACAACACCAAATGTAGAGGGACGGCAGGGATCCCAATGAGCACGACGTAAGCCTGCAAATGGTTCTGCAACCGCACCCCAAACGCTGACACTTGTTACGGGTTTTGTATTCTCGATCACGCCTGCCTGAATCCGATTATGCCATATGAAAATCAGCTTATATTAAAGCGGGCTAGCACTACATCTACGTTGCTTCCTCTTATCAAGTCCGCACTGTTCCGCAGACAATATTTTACTGTAAGAAGGTAACTTGCCAGTTACAGTAGATGTGCTAACTCATGAAATGTCAACCAAAATTTCGAAATGCGTTCTCTTTTCGAAAAGATAAATTACGTAGTGTTGTAAAACTCATTATGATGCAACATAGATCTATAATGATCCAGTTACCTCAGGGTGGCGGCTTTCGAAAGAACTTATTTTCGGCTGCTTTCAAGATCCATGCTCTGCAAAAAATGACCACTTAAGTAGCATGCAATTTGCTCATTGATTTTCGATGCCCTTGAAAATTCAATTATATTTCATAGAAAACATGCATAAAAATATCCATTCTTTTACTTATTCGGTAGAAGATCGCGTCTTCTTTCAATTTCATACTCAAAAGAAGAGTATAATTCGGGTTTAAAAAGGTTTCTAATTGTGAGATTATTTAATACCGTTAAATGGCCGTTCATGAAACGTCATGTATCTGCATTTACGAATGTGGCTTGTAAAGTTAACAATATTGCTTAAATGCACTGCTTAATTTTATGAACCTCATATAGTCTACTCTTAACACCGTAGAGAAATGCACGGTTTTCCGTACACGGAAAATATACAGCTTGTAGTTTTGAAACCCTGAATGCAAGTGCAACAGCAGGTCGGGTTCAAAATTATTCGGGAAATAGAAAAGTTTTTAAAACCGAATTATACTCTTCTTTTGAAAGCCGACACCCTGAGGTAACTGGATCATTATAGATTCACGCTGCATCACGATTAGTTTTACAACACTACTTAATTTATCTTTTCGAAACGAGAACGCATTTCGAAATCTTGGTTGACATTTCATGAGTTAGCACATCTACTGTAGCTGTTCAATAGAAACGAATCGATAAGAGCGAAAAAGTTGCTATGAACCCATTGAACACCAAGCCAGTGCAAACTTCATATTGGACTTGTCACTTGTAGAGATCTGACCCTTGACACTATGATGCATTGTTCCCTTTGCAACATCAGACCGGTCCAAATTTATTCTGGATAAAGATGTTTTCAAGCATCTATGTCATGCTGACTTTTACAATCTTACCTTGTAAGAGTTGGTTTTAGTTTAATGTTCATTAAAATAATGCAATGATACCGTCAAACGGTCAGGTACTTAAAATTATTCAAAGGACGATTAAAGCTCAGTGGATTCTAACCAACCTGCGTTCTTGCATCCGGGCAACCGATATGATGGTTTAGCCGTCATAAATGACGACGTACATAGCTGTCCGACGAACGGATAAAGAGGCGATAACCTGCGTGTAAACTAGTCTGCGGTAAGGAAGACGTTCGCGACATCTGCCTCAATCTCACTTATCTTGCACTGAGGCGAGACAATATCGAGAAACCGGAGGTATGCTCGGCTCGGAGGCTGGAAATGCCAAATAGTTCTTATAGGAGTGCCCCACACACACACAGCCGATCCCCGTCAAACGTCTCAGGTCTCTATAAACGCTGCTCAGACCCCACATATGTAAGAGTGCCATTAGGACCGCATAAGAAGCCATTCCAGGCTCATTTTTACTTCCGAGAAGGGCAGTGTTAGGCCGCCAGTTGGTGACTTTTAAGCTACGGATCAACGCGTCGTCAAGGATTAAAGCGTGCGAGGTCTATTACAGTGAGGAATAAGCTGAGATTTTGTGAGAACAGAATATCCGCTGTCGGCCATATTTCCTTCCCTCCGATGTGCCGGCTGACATTTCGTGCCTGTTACTCAGCTGGTGGTGAAGTTGGACTGACAGAGTAAGGCAGCCCGTCTACGCGTGCCTCACATTTGTGCGTCAGGTTGCACTGGAGGAAGTGTTTTCAAATTAAATGGGCTCTGAAAACTCTGACATGCGAGTGCCAATCGCCATTAGCAGTGCGGGCAACCTGGATTATGTGAACTGGACTTATATTGGGCCCAAAGTGCGTATGCACGTGTTTGCATGCAGGTTAAGGTGCTGAGGTGTAGTACGAACTGTGTTGTTTTACTGAATATTTTTGCAGACATTCACAAGACCAAGTGGTCCCCTGCGATGATCGAAATTGCAGGGACAATTTGTGAATGTGAGATGGGGAGCGGAGGGTAAGATGTGGTTATACAGACCCGCCTGACGGACACAATGCTGCTGGGGTTGGGGTAAGGGGTGTTAGCTAGGAGTTAGGGTCAGGGGTTTTGATTGGGAGTTAGCGATAGGGGAAAGCGCAACTATTTCTTAACCACTCAAAGTGCAACCGCGCATTCCCAGTAGCTTTTCTTTCGCCTACAATTACTTGACATCGTCGCCTGTGCGCTCCTCGGACACACCTGTAAAACCCCGTATCTCCACCGGTCTTGTTTTACAGGTGGCCGGGGATTGTATACTTCGGGTAGGGTTACACAACCACATCTGACAGACAGAAGGCTGTATTTAGTGGTCGGTGAACTGGTCTGCCAGTCGCAGTACGATGAATTCACAGGTGGGCCGCCAGGTCAATGTATGATGTGAATGTACAGCTGCAACCGGGACAGGTCAAAATCGAGCCCACATTGCTGTGGTCAGGAGAATTAGAGCGGGTAGTGTGATTATGGCCACGCTGTGTTGGGAATGGGTTGTATGGTGAGTTCTTTTGACAGTGGAGTATAGGATATGCCGCCAGTCCGACGCATGCTCTGGATGGCTGTTGGCGATACGGACACGTTTGTTTGGCGCTGGGTGCTTACACCCCTGATCCGCGGTATTTGAGATGTATGTGCAACCCTTTTCACTTTGACTCCTTCCATGCTATAGGTTCCGTGGAATTTGACCTCAGTTCTTACTGTAGTGCTAAGTATCGATTCTGGACAAGGCACATCCCAGTATAAGCATCGCTTCGCAAATGGTTAAGAGAGGTCTTTAAGGTGTTCTCGCAGGGAAGCTACTTGAGCCTCGTCTGCTAGCATACATGGTTACACCGCCACAGAATAGTTGCCCCAACAGTTATTCGTCCTTCATGCTCACGAGATTGGCGTTCCATCGTAATTGTATATGCCTTTAATGCGGCTTCAGTAGCGCCAGCCCCTTTTGTTGTTGTTGGTAAATATTCTGGTCGTTTTCTGTGTGAACCAGGGGGTGCGGGGCGGAACGCCAAGATGCGGGTTCGACTGTGCTATCTAACTCCGTCCTCCCCCCCTCACGCCTCCGGTATTCTTAACTATGTCTTGACACCGGATCCAGGTGGAGGAGGAGGAGAAGGAGGAGGAGGAGGAGGAGGAGAGAGTGCAGTGGATGACGTGCAAGTCCACTATCGCTATGGACTAAATGACGCACAGGACACCGTCCCTGCTCTCACCTCGATGTGAAGCAAACGGTAGGCATCATAGGAAACGACGGTCGAGCTGTCATATGCCTTTAGTAAGGCAGTTCATTCGAGGATTCCCATGAGGGAAAGCCTATTTTGCCATCGTCGGTTTTGTATTATGCAGCTGAGGCGAAAACGTTTACAGTGCGTGACCTATCTCATGAAATGTTGGCTGAAATTCTGAAATGCGTTTTCGATTAGGAAGGATTACTTGGTCGCGGTTGTGATACTTATTATCTCAAGGCATACTCTTATAACATTTTGGACTCGGCAGGATGTCGGCTTTCAAATGCATTTCTTTTCAATCTCCGGTAGAAAGTGGTGCTTGGTAAAAAATGACTACTTAAGTAGCATGCATTTTTCCCACTGATTTTTGATGGTCTTGGAAATCCAAGTATATTTTATAGAAACCACAAACAAAAATATGCTATCTTTTAATCAGTCAATAGAGAATCACGTTTTCTTTACAGTTTATACTTAAGTAGGAGGATAATTAGGTTTAAAAAAGGTTTCTAATTATGAGACTTTTTAAGACCGCGATATGTCCATTCACATAGCATCGTACCTGGCCATTTACCACTGCTCCTCATGAAATGTACAACATGGTCCGCATCCATTGCAAATTTTATGGACCCTGTATGATATCTCTTTAATGACATAGAAAAATATGGGATTTTCTTTACGCGGAACGCAAGCACCTTTTAGAGTGAAATCACTAAGCACTAATGCAACGAATGATCAGGCTCCAAATTATTCGGCAATTAGAAAACTTTTTAAAACCAAATTGTCCTCCTTTCTTAAGTATAAAATGTAAAGAAAACGTGATTCTCTATTGATTGATTAAAAGATAGCATATTTTTGTTTGTGGTTTCTATAAAATATACTTGGATTTCCAAGACCATCAAAAATCAGTGGGAAAAATGCATGCTACTTAAGTAGTCATTTTTTACCAAGCACCACTTTCTACCGGAGATTGAAAAGAAATGCATTTGAAAGCCGACATCCTGCCGAGTCCAAAATGTTATAAGAGTATGCCTTGAGATAATAAGTATCACAACCGCGACCAAGTAATCCTTCCTAATCGAAAACGCATTTCAGAATTTCAGCCAACATTTCATGAGATAGGTCACGCACTGTAAGTTTCTTCGCTTGACTTTTATAGACTAACTACATCTCTGGTCTACAAAGGAGAAGTTTCCGTATTTAAGCCTGATAGGTCTTCGATTTCAAGGTCAGGTTAAGTGCTGTAGTCGGCCAGTAGCCTAATCGGCTTTGGAGATGCAACCAGCAATTTTGTCTTCCATCTTGATATTTTCTAGGATTGTTCTTCCCGGGTAGATGAAATTATCCCAAAGGCGAGACGGCTTCTATTTACGCTTACCCCGAGCGCCTTGTGCTCATCCAATAGTTAAGCAGCCGAAGGCGAAATATTTGCTCCCTGCATGTCATTTTACATCGTGATGTCAAGTGCGCCATTTTCAGTGGACTTGATGTCATGAGCACTGGCCATGGAGAATTGCGTGGTACGTTCGGCCGTCAGATGTTGAGCATCAGTCCGTTCGTTCGGCCAACAATGTTTATTACTGGTATCTCTTCATGGTGAGCATCTAACAGGATAAAGGGAATGTGAGAGTAAGAAGAACGAGAACGAGTGCAGTGGATATATAATTTTATAAAATATTGGCTGAAATTCTAAAGTCTATTTTCAATTCCAAAACCTTACCTTAATAAGTTCGTAATACTGATCACCACGTAGCGTAAGTTTAATATATTCCAATCGCTACAGGATTCCGGCTTTTGAATAAGCTTTTTATCAGCCGGTTGCATAAACTACATGCCACAAAAATGACTACTTACGCAGCATGATTTTTTACCATTGCATTTTGGCACCCTTGTCAATTCAGGTACATTTTATGGAAAAGATACATTAAAGTATTTTTCTTTTATTTATTAGGTGGCAAATTAAGTCTTCTTCAAATTTTATACTGAAATAAAAAAATGTCTTACGGCCCTAAAACGTTTCTGATTGTGGAATTTTTTATGATCGTGAAATGTCCAATCATACAGCACCGCATCAGCATATTTATTAATGACGCTTATAAATTGGCAGCATAGGTAAAGTTCATTACACACTTTTGGGAGTCCTATGGGTCTTCTTTATAACACCATATAGAAACGTATGATCGGTCTTGCATAAAAAGCTTACAAGATTTCAGTTTCGAAATACTGAACATAATTGTAACAGCAGGTCGGCTTCAACATTATTCTGCAATAAAATGCGTTTTCTAAAATCAAAAGCTCCATTTTTAAGTATGAACACTAAGGAAGACGTAAATAGCCACTAGGTGGGCAAACTAAGGAATATATTTTTATATATATTTTTGATGCTTATTCAAAAGTTGAATTCCTGTAGTGAATGAAATATCTTAAAATTATGCTGCGCGATAATCAATATTACAAACCTACAAAGGCGACGTTTTAGAATTTAAAACACACTTTAAAATTTTAGCCAACATTTCATGAGGTGGCGCACCTACGTACATAATATTTCCTTACTACCTTTTTTATGCCGAATTCCCTAACTGCTACCCTAATGTCCGCGACTCGAACCATCCATTGTAGACTTGTCCTTCCGCCCATATAAAACGCTCTGAGCAACAAGATCTTAAAAACATTTTTGGAATTCATTGCAAATGCCTGTGTCGATAATTTGTTAAATGTACAGGGATTGTATATAATCAGGCCCTCATCTCTTGTCAGTGATCTTGAAGGTGGGGACAGCGGATATCATGTCGGTGGTACCGCGGTTCCATCGAAATCCACATTGAATTTGGATAAGTTTTTGTTTAAGGCAATGGTCCAGGAAATTATGTGGAATGCCCCCTGTTGACAACGGCATTTAGGGTTTCTGAACTACGAGCTGTGTATTTTACGTGCTGTTATGGAGCAAACCTATAGGACTCATGAAAGTTCGCAATCGACGTGAACGATGTCGTTACTTTATTAGCATGATTAATAAATGTGCAGATGCGATGGTGTACGACCATACACTTCAAGGTCAAGAAAAACCTCATGATTAGAACCTCTGTTAAAGACAAAAGGCTTCTTCTTGAAGTATTAAATTTGAAAAATAAGTAATGTGTCACCAGATGGGTGAAAAATATCTTTGTGCATGCATTTATAAAAGATATTGAATTTCTAATAATATTAAAGATCAACGATAAATATTCCTATTAAAAAAACAGAAATTTGTCTGCCCATTTCAGTTCACAAAGACTGTCATACTAGTATAGTTTAAAGGCTGGCATCTTGATGTGACTGAAATATCTTAGTAGTATGCGACATGATAAGTAGCATGACAACCATACCTAAGAAAAAGTTAAATTGAGAAGCATTTCAAAATGTCTGTTAACATTTCATGAGATATCTCATCTTCCGTACTTGTGGTGACATTAACAGTTGAGGTCCCTTACCCTTCGACCAGTTATTGGGCTTTTGACACATCACCTACAATTTTTGCTAGAGAACTAAGACAGATATCTTTAATCTGGTGAGCACAACTTGCTGCAATCATGGTTATCATTTTAGACTAAATCTGTTATGTGTAGTTGCCGGAACGCTTTTTAACCCTGTCGGAGAATGATGTGAGTGAATCATAATTTTCTAAACTACCTTTCTGGACATTTATGAGTGTGCAGAGGTTGCATGAAATAATCCCGACAACCATGTCATGAATAGAGTTCATATTTTCATGTAAAGATGTGGGCTTCAATGTCAACTGAACCAATAGACTATCTACTGTTAGTTCCTATACGATATGACCCATTTCTATGAATTGCTTAATGTGCACATGTCCCTCTAATGCAAGTAACAAACAGTCACTCTTGCCTAATGGTTATGCTCAGTTGATGCTACTCGGAACTGAGCACCCATTTTTTTCCTTTCCATTTCCCAGGGGACGTTTTCTGGTGTGACAGAGTAGTGGCCATGCGCTCAGCTAAAACTACTTCTTTCTTTTCCACATTCGGCATGGTCTTATGTCAATGCTTATAACGTTTTTGAAGGTAGGGAAGTGGCATGCTAAATGCCACGCCTAACAGCATTACAATCTATGTTTAAAGCTGCATCGGTCAGTTATATGTGTAGATGTTCCACTCAAATTTTTACTTTGTTCTTGGAAACAAAAGTTTTTTCTTTGCGGAGGTTGCCCATTCGTAAAATAGAGGATCTGAGTTTGCACTACAACAATGTTTTCATAAACTCACTTCATTATTTCATAAGGAGACATGCACGGCCGAGTGTGTCAAGGTTCCCGAGGCTTGTGCCTTTCAAATTTAATAACACGTTTGGATATTTTTAACAAAATGTAAATTTATTACCCAAAAGGCAAATGCCAACCATTTGCAAACGCCCGCCTTCCGTCTGGACTTACTGCTCCATTGATGCGGTTTTAGGAACTCAGTTGCACGACCCGCTTTATCTTCGTGTTTCAAAGTGACATATCTACAGACCGTTGAATGAGAAAAAATAAACAAGCCAAAGACGACCATCTGAGACTCTCTCGGCTTTCAGGACACAATATGTTATTGTAGAGATGTTCAATTGCTGTCACAGCGATCAGGACCGACCTGCCGGGCCTACTGATATGACGTCTGCGGAATACGCCAACCATTCAAAAATCTATGGCAAGCAGAACATTGCCTCCTAATAATATATCTTTTGACTACTGTTCTTGTATAATCCGTCGTCTGTCATAGGCACATCTTAATATACGTAAAAATTAAGGATAACTCCCAAAAAGTGGAAACGTCAAATGAGAAACTACTTTCGAAGGCTGTATGCTAAGTAGTTTGCAAAACAGAAGGCATAAGTGGGAACATTTTCGTTTCAAAATAACAAATTTTAACCAGAAAATTCTCGTTTTAGTTTATGTTACGCGTTCTAAAAAGACGAATTTCAA